GTGGTTCGCTTGTTCAGAAATTGAGAGGATTTATTGTTGAAATGTGTATCTTCGATATTTTTTATTTTTAATGTAACTAAAGAATGTTCTATTATTGTTTTCAAAAGAAAAAAAAAAGAATTTTCTATTATTGTCATTTTTCTTTTCCTTTTAAATAAAAATATAAGGTTTTTGTACCCTAGTTTACCCAAAAATATATAAATTTTTCATTACGAAGGATAAAACAACTTTTTCCACGTTTGTGCTTTTTTAATACATTGTCTAAAAAATTTCTATGCGTGTTGCGCAACCTAATTTTTGTTTCTGTACGATTTATGCATTAAAACCTAAAATTATTCAGTTACAATACTTGGCAAAATTAAAAAAAACATCATAATTCCCACAAGATTGTTAGAGAGTAACATATACAGAGAGAAGTTAAATTACAAAAGTTGATATGCAAATTAGCTATTTAATAATTTGGTATAGTTGTGTACATATAAACAATATATAGCTACTTATAATAAATTTATTAATATTCATCAATATCTATATATAAATTAAAAAAAGACATGTTGATTATACCAATATTGTAAAACAATAATTTTAACTTATAATGGAAAAATACAATATTACTGATATAATAACCTCTATACGAAATGGTGAAATAAAGAGAAAAAAGCGGTTTCCATAAGCCTTGTCCAGTTTGTTTTTATGAGAGGGTTTCATCGAAAATGTAAACANAAAGAATCATCGTGAATTTATCGTAACCCTAGGTCATAGCGAATTAAGATAAAAATCTATGAAATCATTTAAAATTTAAGGACAATATGATCTATGAGTCTATTCTAACTCCCAATAAATTTTAAGAGTTCTGGACGGAATAGAAATTATAATGTTATAATGTTAAATCGAGAAGCTCAACTAAGAAGAATTAGCGGAGAAATTTGGTGTTTATCGCAAGATATCTAAACAACAACAATTAATAATTTTTATTCGTGCATATGGTGTATATGAGACCTAAAGGCAAACATATATCCAAAAATGATGTATATCAAACTCTTCCAACTTACAAAAGTTTTATTCCCGCGCACATCGCGGTAAAAAACCTAGTTGTTTTATTACTTAGAAATGAAACAAAATTCTATCTTCTTATACCTTGAACTGGGAGATATTCATGCTTTTAGTCTTTGAGCAAGAAGCTTTTCACAATCTTGATGCTTTCCACCAAAACGGTCATGTCCCAAACCTCTCTTGATGATCTAAACGACGCCGTAGCGTCCAACCTGTGGATCTCCCAGCCACTGCTTCTCAGCTTCATGATCCTCGCTATCTGCTTCTTTGCAAGCTGCCACGTGTTCTCTTTGATCTCCTGCACTGCTTCCTCGTACGCCGCCTTTCTCGCCGGGTCCCACTCGCCAACCTTGGCATTTTTCTCCGGTGGGTAGAGTTGGAAGTACCGGTCGAACTCAGGTAGTCCTATGGTCTTGTGAATCCCGGTTCGGGTCGTGGTCGACCCAGAATGTCTTGGGTTGTAGAAACTGGCGAGCTCTTCGAACATCCCTGACTCCAGCATCTGGTCGACACGTTTTGAGAGGTAGTGGAACAGAACGGAGACCGAGACATCCACCCAGAGGAAGCAGCAGTCGTACCTTTTGATCAAAGCAAGATTTTTAATATAGGATTCTTGAATAATAGCACGAATGAATTTAGACATTATATTTTAGACTATGACTTTGATACATCTGAAAAAAGTATGTTATATCCATCCCTTTCAAAATATAAAATATTTTAAGCAAAAGCACGCAAAAATTATCAAAGAAATTTTTTTTTTTAAAAAAACATCATTTAATATTTGATTTTAAATGATTCAGTCACTTATGAAAAAAAAACTATAAAATTCGGAGGGTAGTCACAAAACATCAAATAAATTAATTTTTCTATGAAATTAAAAAAAAAAATCTCTAAAACATCGGATATAGTGACGCATAGTAGTTACTTGTGTTCTTTCATAATTTTTTCTACAACATGCAAACGTAAATTTTACGGCACATGTAATAAAAAAGTTCTCCTTCCATTTGCGTTTGATTTTTATGTTTATACAATTTGAAAGTACAAAATATAGTGTAAGATGCTTTGAGATGATTACGATTTTGGTTTCATTATTGAAAGAAAAAAATATAGTAAATGTAAAAAACCTAAACGTTAACACAAACACAAACAAACAATCGAGACATATATATCATACCTTAACTCAGAAGAAATTGACGGCTTAGAAGAGAATGGATTGGTTTCCGGATCGAAATGCTCGACGAGGAGGGCATGAATAAAGGAGTTGGATCCTCCAACTATTACTGGGAGTTTCCCACGAGAGGTTATCTCAGAGATCGACTGTGAAGCCAAAGAACGGAATTTGGAGGCAGTTAGTTCACCTTCATCAAGAGGGATCACACCGAGTAGATGGTGGGGAACTCCGCACCGCTCATGGATAGTGATTTGATTCGTGGCTATCTCCAATCCATTATAGAGTTGTATTTTGTCTGAATTGATGATCTCGCCCGAGAAACGGGTTGCAAGATCAACTGAGAGGCGTGACTTGCCTGTCCCGGTGGCTCCCATTATGATAACCACTTTCTCCTTGCGTGACTGGTCCATGCAAACAGTCATGGGAACAACTGATCGTGGTTGCAGCCGCGGAGAACTGGTAGGGAGCCTCGGGACAAGGGAACGAGAGAAGAATGTGGAAGTAAGTTCTTGCATGATTACCAAGAGAGACAAATGCTGTTTCTGTTTTCTTCTCTAGATCTCTCTTTAGATCAGCTCATGAAACTTGGATAGTTCTGGCATGCTTTTATAAACTGAACGAATCAGACCAAAAGGTAATTTTAAAAATTAAAAATGTGTTTGTCTGTGGTTGGATATAGTATTGGAAGATTATTTCCTGCTTTTGGTATTTGATAACTAGTGGATTTAACAGTGATTTGTAATCATTTATGCATCAATATTGATTTTGTTACCATTAGTGCTTTTAACTGATATATTAAAATTCATAGATGATGCACAAAATAGACAATCATAATTGTCAATAGAAAAACTTGAAAACAAAAATGTTAAAAAATGTTAAACAAACTAAAATAATTATAAAAATACGCTATACGCTAATTGGGCGTGCGGCAACATACCGTACAATGCCTAGCCGTATACGCCGTACAATGCCTAGTACACGCAAATGTATATGCAAGGTAGGTATATGTATGCTAGATCTTCTCTTATAAAAATAGATTTTCAATATATATTTAGATATAAGAAGAAATATTAAAGTGACAAATATCATAAATTAAAATATCTACAAGAATACTAGAATGTTAATAAATATATATAAGAAGAAGATTAAAAAATAACTATATTTGTATAGTGACCGTTTGATT